AAGTCCTACTGGAGACTGTCATAAATGAAAACTTCTCAAGTTTCACTAAGATCCTGACACACTCCTCTCAGATGGATATCAAACCCCAGGTCATCTTAACTCAAACATAGCCTCTCCAGGATATATTATAATGAACTTGTCCAATGTCAAGATGAAAGAAAAAATTCTGCAAGCAGCCAGGAATGAGCACCACTGACCTATAGAGGCAGAATCATTAGGATGACAGCAGACTTTTCAACTGAAACTTTCCAAGCAAGAAGAGAATAGAAATCCATCTTCAACACTCTAAGAAAACAATTTTAGCCCAGAATTCTGTATCCTGCTATACTAATCTCAAAATAGATGGAGAAACAAAATCTTTTGTGAATAAACAAGCACTGAGGAGAAAGACAGACGGCCAATAAACATATGAAAAAATGGTCAATGTCATTAATCATCAGGGGAAATAAAATAAAAATTAAAAAAACACAATGAGATATTACTTATTAGTCCAGTTAGAATGTCTTTTATTAAAAAGTCTAAAAAGAGTAGATACTGACATAGATACAGAGAGAAAATATTACTTATAAACTGTTGGTGGGAAGGCAAATTAGTATGACCTCTGTGAAATACTGTATGGGGATAACTCAAAGAACTAAAAGTTGAAGTATCATTCAATCCAGAATCTCATCATTGCATAATTGCCAAAAATAAAGGATTTTTTCATCCAAAAGACACTTGCAATTAAATGTTTATTGCAGCACAATTAACAATTGCAAGGATGGAGAGTCATCCCAAGGGCCTATCAATTTGTGAGTAGATTAATAAAATGTTGTGGGGAGGCACCTGTGGCTCAAAGGAGTAGGGTGCCGGCCTCATATGCTGGAGATGGTGGGTTCAAACCCAACCCTGGCCAAAAACTGCAAACAAAATAAAACAAAATGTTGTGTTATCATATATTGTGTATATCATATATTACATCTACAATATATGTTGCATATTACATATATAACATATATGTAAAATGTAGCACATATATACACACACACATATATATTACTCTCTCTCTACACACACACACCCCCCCCAAGGAATACTACTCTGTCATAAAAAGGTGAATTAATACTTTATGAAACAATCTGAATGGAAATGGAGACTATTTTCCTAAGTGAAGTATTTCAAGAATGACAAAACAAACACTATATGTCCTCACTATTAAATTGGAATTAATTGATGAGCATGTGCATAAAAGGAAGTAAAACTCAATGAAAATCCACCAGGAGGAAGAGGGAGTAGGAGACACAGTAAAACCTACCTCATGGGTATAGTGAATACTATTTGGGTGATGGGCACCCCTAAAGCTGGGACTCAAGCACTACAAAAACAATATATTTTACCTAAAACATTTATAGCCCCATAATATTTTGATTTTTTACAAAAAGAGATAGAGAAATGTCTAAGAGAAATAAGAAAAATGTCCAACACCATTAATCCTCAGAGAAATACAAATTAAAACTACAAGGAGATACGACTAAATCCCTGTCAGAATGTCCATTATTCAAAAGTAAAATAAGTGATAGATGTTGGCATGCATGCAGAGAACAGAATGGTGGGACTCTAGAATGTAAACTCTAGGAAACAGTATGGAGAATCCCCACATAAATAAATGTAGAAGGAAGTCATTTTATAAATAGACATATGCACTCAAATGTTTACTGTAGCACAATTCACAATTACAAAGATATAAAATCATCCTAAGTGCACAATCTTTTCATTCTTGCATAATAAAAAATGATATATTGAATACATACCATGGACTACTATAAAGTCATAAAAATGAATGAAATAATGTCTTTTGCACCCACTTAGATGGACTGGAGACTATCATTCTAAGTGAAGTATCTCAGAAATGGAAAATCAAACATGGTGTGTTCTCATTAGTCGTTGGAAACCAGAAATAGGGAAGGGTGGGAGACTGAAGAATGCCTGTGAAGTGCAATTAATATTACTCTGGTTACAGGCACATCAAAAGGCCTGACTCAAGCATGATACAACGTATCCAGGTAGGAAAAACATTTGCTCTTCCTGAATAATTTTTAAAATTTTTAAGTATTAAAAGAAAAGAAGGAAAACACACTGTGCAACTCAATCAGGTAGAAAACTGCTATGGTTAATGCAGTGCCATTATGTAAGGCATAAATAATTACTGGAAAATTAATTTAAGAATAAATGATTGATTTTTCAAAATAGCTATATTCTTTTAAAATAAGTATGTACCTAATAATTCTATAGAACTCAAAGAAGTGAATGAATAAATGATCACAACTAAGTAATAAACAATTCTGGCTCATTGTTTATTACACAGGCACAATAACAAGCTTATGGAAAGATTTAAACTAGACAATTAAATATAACAAACATGGATGCACACACACATGTTCATACATGCTCATACAAATATATTACACTGATGCAGAATATTCCATTTTTAAGTTCTCATGGAAAATTTTCCAAGGATATACTATAATCTCATAATTCCAGGCAAGTTAATGTGAAATATAGCACTATGCTCCCAATACACTGCTACTAGCTGCTTGGCCAGTGGACATTTGTAACGTAGACTTTCACTTTCAATAATAATTAATGAAAAATAAATTACAATTAAAACCAGTTCACCACATTAGAAAAAACATGTAGTGTAGAACATTTTAAGCTTTTCAGAAAACACTCTACCTACAGTTTACGGAAATAGAAGTCTATAAAAAAATTTAAAAATCTACATGATTTTTAATTCTATTGTATATTACTAAAGAAAGTAAGAGGCAAAGAAGTTAAGACAATGGATAATCATCATTTCTATTATATGAATTATCAGTAAAATAAAGTTCTTTCTTGTGAAAAACTGATTGTCTTAATTACATATATATAGTATAAAAACTAAATTCAGAAACAGAATTATCTGAGCATACATCACAAAAAAATTTTTTAAGTTGAAACTACTTTAACTGAATAGAAGTGAAATAGAAGGAGAACAACAAAGAATTTAAAATCATAAGACACAGTAGACTGGATCAACAAAGCCAATGACATTTTCATTGAAAATACTTAAAATTAATAAAATTATAAGAAAGTACCTGATAAGGCACAAATATTTTATTTCTAGATTATAAGAAAGTACCTGATAAGGCACAAATATTTTATTTCTAGATTAAATGTAGGAATATCTTTTGGATAGTACAAATAAAAAACAAGGAATGA